GCCTGTGTGAGTCAGAGGTGACAATTCTTACCTGAAATCACACAAGCCAAGTCACCCCAGCTGCCATGGTTTGTGTGAAGTCAGAGAAGCTGTGGGACGGTTACTGTAGACACTGCATTGGATATTTGAATTCAGCTGTGTTGTTTAAAACCTTTTTGTTAATGTTGCATCTCCATGAAGAGCAGTTGATTTGCTGAGTGACAACTCTTGTGATCTCTGTGTCACACCAACACCCTGCCTGTGTTTCTACGTGCTGACCTGGGCAAGTTATGGTGTGTTGTTGTAAAATCAAACATCTCACAGCTCAGTGTCTCCTTCCCTCTGTTCAACCTGCTCTGCTGAAAGGAGGTTTAACATGGCAGTCGTGTCTGGCTCCTGCATTTTGGCCTGGCTCCAGCTGAGCACTTAAACTTGCCCTGCAAAACTCAAGGTTAAGCACGTGCTTAACTGTCCTGCTGGATCAGAGCCATGGGGGAAGAGGAGGAGGAGGAGGAGGAAAGTCACTCTTGTCATACTTTCACTGTGACTGACAGTTTGGCCTTTACCCACACAGAAATGTGACATTGTAAATCTGCCACTTGCATTTATGCCTGCATGCTCCATGCTCTTCTCTAAGTTAAAGGAAACTATTATCAAAAATGGAGTGCCTCTCCCTCTGGGTGGTAGAAGATTTTATTTCTCATTTGGCCATGAGTTTTCTTTGTGGTGATACCTGGTGATTTCTGTTTTAGCCTCTCCCCTGCCCCATATCATTGTCTAGGCTGAAGATCTACAGCAGTGATCCAAGACAACATTTTGTCATCACCACAGATAATTTGAGATCCCTGCTATATTTTTTGCATATGGGCTGTAATTGCTTGAAAACCACATGGAATTTTTTCTTGTCCTCTCTGTGGATTTTTCTTCTCCAGGTTCTGCAGCATATCTAGAGTTAGGCTGTGGTTTTGGATGTGTTACTGTGTCTGGTCATAGGAACCAAATCACAAGCTCTTCTTAAATGGCCTTTTCCTGTCTTGGCATGTCTGGTTGCTTTGGGATGTTTTCAGCAAATTGGAGAGCTTGAAACTCATAAGCTGTTAGTGAATTGCAATTCAGAGGAGCAGTTTCACTTAAAAAAACAGCAAGTTCAGTGAATCTAGAACTGTAGCACATGGTTTGCAACTCTTTAATAGGGCAGTATATTCAGACTTGAAGTTTCTGAAAAGTAACTCCTATTAATTAATATAAAAACCACATCTAAACTTACATATTATATAATTCACAAAAAAAAGTTTGTCCAATCCTTTTGTCCTTAAGGAAGAGTAAGGAATTTTGCAGTTATTAAATGGTATGGGTAATTTTTTAACTTTATTAAAAAAATACATCATCAATTCCCATGGTAATTTCAAACTAAAATTGCAATTTTGTGAAAAATGTATTTAATTTATGTGACAGAGAGATCTACATAACTTCAGGAAAGCAGGCAATTTATGACTCTTAAGGATATTGTCAAGGCAATTTTATTGTACTCATGAGAATATTCCTGCTGAAATTATGCATATGGCCCTAAAAGCAGTAAATGTTGAGCAATATTTAACTTAGAAGTAAAGAATCGATTAATATTTGTGCTGCTAAGCATGCATTTATTCATTTTTATATTTCTTTATTTTTGCTCTTCATGTATTTACCCTGTCCCAATGGTAGATTAAAAAGAGTTTTCAACAGCACTGAGGATGTGTCCCCTGACAAAGTACTCAAAGCTTCTGTAATAAATCAGATTTGAGATGTATAGAACATACTATTAATAAATTTATCATTAATCCTTTAAAAAGAATCCAAAAAGTAGGATCTCAAGCCTAGTTATCCTAAGATCAGTGAGGAAATTGCCACTATTCTCAGAAGGCAGATTGGAATGTACAATGAATTCTTGCACTCCAGACTTTGATAATGACAATAATTACAACTGGGATGATTTTTGCCTTTTTACCTGAACGTATTTCACTTAGTTAAAACAGAGTGAACTCTGGTTTAGGTAGGTGTAAAAGAGAAGGGAAGAAAATTGCATCCACAGGAACCTCCCACCATTCTGTTTTAATCTTATTGAGAACACATTTATGGAGTGGGCTGGAAGTCAGTGCAAGCCTAATGCTAAGAAGCTTAGAATGAGCATGATTGATTCAAATGGGACTGTTAAGTTTATATGGAAAACTGTGATTATACAATCAAATCCATGTAGTGAGCCCTTGATACACACATCAGAAAATCTACTAACAACACTGGGAGCTGAATATTAGCTATCTTTAATCTGTTTCCTTTATAAAATTGAATGGAAGCATTTAAAAATCTCCTGTTAGAGACTTAAAAACCCCCAGACAACCCACCAAAACCCACAAAAAAGCCACAGAACAAAACAAATATAAGAAAAGCCTAACAAAGCAAGCAAGAAAAAAAACCAAACTAGACCTAAGCAAAAATATACCACCACTGCCAAAATAAGTAAATAAATACATACACACATATATACATACATACAAACATACAAAAAAGCAAATGAAAACCAAACACCAAAACAGTGAAATTTAGGCAGTGGAAATGTTGAAGTATTTTACTCACAAGCCCTTAAGCAAATATAAATGTGCTTAGATCAACTAAGTATCGGCATGCAAATGAAGTTCCCTTAAAAAAAATAATAGTTCCTACTTTGAATGCTAACTAATACCTTATAGACCCTAAAAAAGCCTTAAGCATGTAGTGGAGTTAATTGGGGGGTAGTCATGAAACATATCTCTTTTTCTGACATGTGCTGTAGCCTGCATTTTTCACAGGGGAGGATGAATTTCAGGGTTTTTCTTATAATGTAATTCCAGCTTTTAAAATTTCTTCTTTCCAATTCAAATTCTAAACCCTAAGTGTTTTGTGGGCTAACTTTTTAAATCATAAGTGCTTGAGATCAAAACTGTGCTCTGAGCAATGTCTGTGTGGGTCCCATAAATTCTAGGTAGGCAGCTCCAATATATTTCAGATAAAAGCAAAAGTGGGGAATGGCTTTCAAGATAAACTTTGCTTTGCTTTTTGCTTTTGGTGAAGTTTTCATGGACTCCCATTTCTGTTCTGTATAAATCCAGAGTATATTGGCCACAGGACTTTCATGGACCACTGTAGTTCTTATTTCTTTCTGTTGGCTTTATAGGGATCCTACCATGGGTATCTTTCCAACCTGTATACTCTAATAAGGAACCTAAATTAGGTGTGATGGATCTGGGATAAATAACTCCAGTGACACTGTGAGATTTCTTTTGTTTTTGCTGGCAAAGCATTTAGGCATGAACTTTTTTACTGCTCAATAAAGCAGTTAATCATATTTTAAAGTATAAGTCTGGGTCGAAGTGCGTGATTGAATCAGATCCTTTGAAGTTCACTGACCTGTAGTAAATTGGGAATTTCATAGCTGACTGCACAATTAAACTTTGACTTCAGGGCATATTTAGGTTTAAATTTCTCATTAGGAAGTAATTCTGAAGTAAGATTTTTTTTCTCCTGACAAATGCAAAGTAGCTATGAAGAGGTTAAAACAAAAGTTTTATTTTGCAATTAAAACCAAATTTATGCATGATTTTTCTAATTTATTTCTCTGCTTCTGGTAGAAGTAATTGGTTCATAGCTTAATATTCAGGTAATCTTTGAACCTTCAGCAAGCTTTCTTACACGTTTTCTAGCTTCAATTCATATGAAAAAACCACATATTTTAAATTTGTCCCAGTCTCTTATGAATTATCTTTTAAAAGATAAAGGGAGACAGCAACACGGATAGAGTTATATTCTACAAAATCCTATTAGAACTGAAAGATCGCTCTCTTGATGCTTAAAGTATTAAATTTGGCAACTACTGAATCCTTTTTCACACCAGTAAGTGTGAAGAAAGTGACTTTTATAGAAGGTAATTGAGACAGGGAGGCAGGATTACAAAAAATAGATACTGAGAGGTCCATTCAATTACCAGGAATACTCCTCTGCCTACTGTAGTACACTCATTACTGCTGGAATGGTGATTGAGGCTCCCAGTTGCCATATACTGCCACAGCCCCACAGGAGTCTGCAGTACATTTTTGGTTCATGTTATTTGAAGATTTGCCTTCAGTTTTGATGATATAAAACCATATCTGATCGTATAAAATAATCTGTGAATTGGAAACATAATTTAAATTTAATTCACAGCACTTATTCAAAAAGTAGGTGTCATATTTTAAAAGCTGGGGTTTTGCTAGGAGCATTAAAATAAAATGGGGCTATTTATCTGTCTTGTTCTGTGCTGGATGTGTTTTTATCACTTTCCAGAGGAAAAGAGCAAAGATATGTATTTTGAATTACAAATTCAGGGGCGTATGTACATTATCAAAAAGCAGATTTAGAGACTCATCTTTGTGTATCACATTCCAATTATGCTTCCTGCGGAGTCTGTCTCCACAGTCAGACATGATTAATCATTCTTTCATCAAGGACTTTGGAAATTAGGGATTTCACTTGTTTTTTCTCTTGGAAAAGACAGTGCTCTGTCTGGGCTTGATCTTTTCATTTAAGTTGCAGGTTTTTTGCTCAGGTAGCTGTAAGGTTGGAGCAGCAGGGACTCCTAATGCATTAAATGACTCCCTAAGATGTGGATCTGCCCTCTCTGGGTTTGGTGGTGTTGGGACCTTTGGAAAAACCAGGCTTTGTCCTCCTGACCCATCTGGCTTGGGAAGTTTGCAGTGAATCTGGAACTGGTTCCACCCCATGGTCAGCAATGATATCCACCTGTTTCACCATGTAGGGAGCAGAGACAGACACTGGGATGGGGATGGCTGGCACAGCAGAGCGTGTTCCTGCATGGATGGTGGGGATGGAGGCTCACACGGGCACACTGCAGGGACAGCATCTCAAACCAACACTTCAGCCACAGTCAGGGACAAACGATGGATGCAACATGGTCGTACAGCTGCACATCACACACACATGATGCAGAGATGGCCATGGAAAATACTCACTTTTTCACTTGATTCTGCTTCCTTTTGGCTTCTGCACCCCTTTGGTGCATAGCAGGGAAGTAGGTATTTGTGTTTAGTGGAAGAAATTACACTGACTAACAGACACAAGCATTTTACTCATAAATTTATCATAGACTATTGCTGAGGAGACTGACAGACAGCCACTACAAATGGTGTGTTAAACATTTAATGAACCCAGGCTGAACTCCTGGCCCTGTTGAAGCCAATGGAAGCTTTTTGCATGTCAATCTTTTTTGGGGTGCAGTGAAGGTTTACAGGGGGCGGCATTTTATGTGTGTTTTTAATTGCTTGTTAATCACTTAATGGAAAATTAGAAATGATGCCTTAAACAGAGCATCTTTTTCCTCTGTGCAATTTCTTCACAGACATTGGAGTTCACCATGAACAAAGCCTGGTGTTCAACAGGGCCTGAGGAGGAGGTGCCAGACCTGGTTTCCAAATTAGTAGATGATATTTCTAGAATGTGTATTAGTGCAGCATATCTGCGATGCTCTGCTGGAGAAGTATGTGCTGGTGTGTGTGCATCTCAGAACTTTCTAAAGTACAGTAGCTGTTATCCTAAATCATTAGAGGAATAAAACAAGACTGTGGATTTAGTTTAAGGTTCTCATGTAAAACCAGCTTCCAGCAATTTCCATTCCTGATGAGCTGGGAGCATTTATGTGCAGTAAATATTGGCAGTGAACTAAATGCACTTGCCTGGGGAACAAATTCATGTCAGCAACATGAGGGAATAAAACCCACTCTCATAAAAAGAGTGCTGTGGTTTACAGTAGTGTTCAGTCACTGTCTTTAAGGAACTAATGGAACCACCAAATGCTTGGTGGCTACTCCAAGGTAGGTGTAAGGTTTAGTGGGGGGACATACATCCTTCCTTAGACTGGAGGTGTAGAAATGAAAGCAATGAGATGTGCCAAGTCACATATTCTGATCCAGACCAGGAGCAGAACCCCAGTGAGAGCTTAGGAATGGGATCCGAGATATTGGAAATGACACTACTGTGAACGGGTTGTTTCTTATTTTACATATGCACGGAATGGGAATATTTTATATATGAATTGCAAATGAGTATTTATGGCGTGACAATTGATGGCATGAATTAGAACCGAGATTTTAAACTAGCTTTAAAAAACTTTCTGGTAACTGAACTGGGGAGAAAAAAATGCATTTTTGTTTAAATTTTGACGTCAAACCATCTACACCCCCAATATTCACCCCAAGCTATTTTCCCCCCTCAGTGAAGCAGCGGGATGGGTCACCCAGCGGGGCCGGGGACTCGCGCGGCGCCCGCGGCCCCCTCAGAGCCCCGCGCTCTGCCCACCTGGGATGCCACAGTGAGGAGGGGCTTTTCTTCTGCAGACTCCTCTCTCGGAATCTCCTTCATCACCATGGCCACAGCCTTATCGGCCGCCCTAGCGCCTTTGCCCTACAACAGCGAAACCAACAACGGCGCCAGGTCAGCAGCGGGCTCCGGCCGCCCTCACGCGCGCTCCCGACCCGGCCCGCGGGACCCGGCCGCGCCTGCGCCTGGAAGCAAAGCTCGGTTGGAAGCAGAACACACACACACTGGTTAAAAATAGTAAAAATAATAATAATGTAACAAGTGGTCCATCAACCCAATGGTTAAGGAGGCAGTTGGGGTCTAGCCGTGGTCTGCTGGCTTGTTCGAGTTGCCCCAATGAAGTCAACAGGAATACAGCACTTTCCTGCTGGGCCAAGGCCTGCTGGAAGATCCCCCGTGCCAACCTTCTGTAGCATAGGATCCCCAGAGCAGCAGGGGTTGGAGGATCAGTCCGTTGATTTAATTTTAGTAATCCAAGTTTGTACCCAAAATACCTCTTTGTGGTTTTTTTCTGTTTTTTTCTTAAAAATAGCGTCAAGCGGAGTTTTCAAATAAAGCACAGTTCCTTGTTGTTCACTGAGGCAAACTCTCCCTGAAATTTGAATGTATAATCTGGACCCACAGAGTTTATAGCTCTAGTAACATTTTAAAAAGCAATTCACATCGTATAAACAGTCTGGGTTTTTGCTAACAGAACATACGGAGCCAAATTCTGCCATCGTAGGCATTGCTCTCCCTAAAATGATCATTGTTGTAGAACTTACTGTAAGGATTTTTTTTTAAACTACACTTTTCTTAAACTTCTCTTAACACATTGCAAACATTCTGGACAAGGTTAAGATATTTTAACATTATTTAAGATAAATTAGCCAAATAAAAAGTGCACCAATATTATGTGCCACGCTGTTTGATGCCATTCTTTTTATTTAATGAGGGTCTTTATCATCTTGGGTTCACATGGGTTTCTGTATCTTGATCTTTGGTCTTATTTTGATCTCTGCCTCTTGCAAGTGACAGAGAAGGTGGGAGCTTGCACATAAAGCATCACAGCAGAGCTGTATTATGCCAGTGACCCTGGGCAGGTCCTTATTATTACACTTTAAAAGCTCCCATTGATTTCCATGGAAGTTTTAGCTGTGCAAAGACTGCAGGATCTGGCTCCATAAAAGAAGTATTTTACACTGGACTTAAGTATATTTAAATCCTTAAAAGTCTATTAACAGAAGGGGTTCTTTGCTAAGACATCACATACAAGAGTTATCTTCACTAGCAGTATATTCTGTGTCAAGTAAGCCCCCACTATTGCTTATACCAAACTACAGATGGTTTCAGGAACATTTCATCAATTGCAGGTAAAACCATTACGTACTATTGCAGGTTCTAAACGGGTTTTATTACTGATCAGGTCAATATTAGATTAGCTTGCTTGTGCAACACATCACAGATACCCTACAGAGAGTTCTTTGCATGCTGTAAGAAATTCTCAGAGCAAAAGTGTCATAAATGATAAGCATGCTGGACTTGTGATGCCTTTGATATCCAAAGAACTGCAAAGTCATTGTAAAATTAAATATATTAAATTCAATGAGAATTACATTTAATTGGTAAGCATATCAAAGGTTTTGGGCCAATTACGTGTTTGTTCATGATTCACATGACATATTCCAGGTCTATGAAGCTTGTTTCCAGTATGACACATGAGCTATCATTAGCTAGCACTAATAGCATGCTATTGGTCTTTATAAAATGTAGTCCTTTTGTGCTGAGTGCTAGAACAAAATCGTTTATCAGCTAGGAAGGATGCATTGGAAAGCATGCAGTGCTTTTTATTTCTTGCAGAGTAAAAACCCACCAAAGCAAAGGTCAGGTCACTTTTTTGAAGACAGAGCCACTTTTTCTTCAAGGTTTCACCTACTGCCTGAAAAGAGTCATGATACTCGTATTAGTGCCTGCTGTTCATCCTCCGCACACGTAACTGCAAAGCCCTGGGAGTGGCTGACACCAAATATAAAATCTGTCTCACCAGTTTAAAGTGGCCATGCTACAATGGAGAAAAGCAACCCAAAGGATACCTCTGTGTTGTTTTTAATGAGCAGACTTAGTTTATTTGCTGGGCAAAGCAAGAGGTTTGATGCTAGCTTTTTTAAAAAAAGTTCGATCTTTAACTTTCCTAAAAGAAAAACACACTTTCCTGTGTGAAAGTCAGGTTGACATTTCTGGCTGTTTAGCCCATGCTGTGTGAAACATTTTGAAACTAGAACTTGGTAACAATTTCCTGGATGCCAAAGAGAAAGCCAATGCAGTGGAATAGTTTAAACTGTCAGATTCTGCTGGAGAGGTACACAGGGGAACAATTCACTGGAAAATGTAGCCTTTCATTCTGTTGACTAGAAATTAAATCGTTGTCCTATGTAAGGTAGGTAACCTTGAAAATGTTGGTCTCTCTTTCCTGCAGTGACCACTGTGTACCCAATTCTTGCCTATGAAGCCATTAGGCCAAAGAATTGGAGAGAAATACAACCAGTTTTTCTGTGGTCAGGATGACCTTGTTACTGTTGTCAGCTGCAGCTGAAATTAAAATCTCCAGCACATTTATTTCAATAACCATTAAAGAATTATTTTTTAAGGTGCTATTTACTTAGCCTCTTTTGATATTAAGTGTTGTTTCTTAGCAAGCCAAAGTGCTATATGAATTTACCTGGCACAGCAGTTTATTGCTCAAACCTTGTAATTCTGTAACAACTCATTTTAGACATGTCAGAACTTCCAAACAAACAGTTTGTTAGTAGTGGAGGTTTGCAAGATCAGTTACTTTCTCATGTAAACCACAGTTTAACAATTTAGTAAATAAATTTCATCATTCCCTATTGGTTTGCAATATAGAAATGGAAACAATTGTGATGTAGAACATGACAACCCATGTGCAAATTATGACAAATGTAAATTGATGAAGGAAAAAAATGTATTATTTGTTTTAATGGAACATACTCCTTAAGAGAAACTGAGAAAGATGTCAATGTTTTGTTATTTGATACATTAAAAAATGCAGCATTTCCTTTAGGTAATATCTCCATAGCAAAATAAGGACTAGAGTTCAGAGTATTCCCCTGATGCTAAATACTTATAACAGCATTGGGTTCAAAACTTAATAACAATTTCTGTAAGCTTTTCCTTTGGGATCAGATAATGAGTAGTAATAGACATTTCCATAGGAGAACGCTGATTTAGCAGGATTTTGTAAGGAAATACTTTTATTCTGCTGCTGTTTCTAAATAGTTCCAAATTCAATTTTATACAAGTCACACTATTTAGATGTGGTACTTAGTAATGAGTATTTAATTAAATTACTGCAAGAGCATCTTAGTGTAAATTTTTAGTGCAGCATAAAGTTGCACTTTTAAAGTTGCTCTTTTAAAACAAGAGATGCATATAGCTTTGTAACCATGCTCATCCAGGATAAAGCTTAAAGCACTTGGGACCAACAGATCACCTTCAGGTCCTGATGGACAGATCAGAATGAACACATGTTCACACTTGAAACATTACTATTTGTTGCAATACTCTATAATTCTGTAATTATTTTCTTCATTATAGTGATTTGCAAATTTGTTCTTGTATATCAAAAACCAACAGTCAGTGCTGTGTAAATGTTTAACATTTTGACAACAGTATTTAAACTATAATGATTAATTGCAGAAATTCTTTGTTGTCATCTATGCAATAAAAGGATTTTATCTAAAACCATTTCATAATTTTAAGTTTGCTTTTGACAAATATTTAAGGTACTTGAGTCCTAAAATCACTTTTCAGGAATATTTATAGCATCTGTTCTTGTGAGAAAGTGAGCAGAAAGAAATGATCAGATTTTCATTTTTTTAAACATGCATACATGAAGAAAGTATTCCTTCATTACACAGACCTGTGTCTGTGTAATTTATTTTTCAAGGATTCTACCAAGCTGTTTCAGCTTTAATTGACATACTACAATGCATCCCTGTTCACAGAAATCATCTCAGCACGGGCATGTTTAAATTTAAGCTTCTGTAAAACAGAAGTTTTAAGACAGCTTTCCTTATAAATAAATTTGATAGATAAAAGAGTCATCTTCAATCCGTGCTGGTACAGGTGTGGCAGGATTACTGCTTTCATGGGCATCTCCCTTTCTAGCTGAGGAGAAACAGAATAGCATTTATAAATGTAATGCCAAAAAATATGGCCAGATGTCCTGACCTTTCCCACTGGGCTGTTGAATTGAAATGTTTGAAAACAAAACAAAACCAAAACCCACCAGTTCAGGACATCTTGAAGCACCAATCTGCACTTTAAATATCTTTAATAGGTTGGAAGGGCCTTTTTAAAGCAAACTTTTTACAAGATGCATTAGTGAGAACTTGGAGTTTGAGGAGCTGTTGTCCTCCTGTGCTGGGAGAAGGAACAGGGAGAGCTGCAGAACGTGCTGGATCTGGGAGCCTTGGCTGCCCTCCAGATCCCCCAGCAGCTGATGTATTAGAGCACCAGCTAAGCAGCCTATTCCAAATGGCTTTATACTCCACAAATCTTCCTGTTTTGTGCAACTTAAAAATAAAAATGAAGGGAAAAACTTGGCTTTATTTTTTTTAAATCGTGCAGCGCTAAGGTTTTTTACCTCTCAAAATGAGCACACAGAGCTGTGCAAAGGTACCATGGGAGTTCCAGGCTCCACAATACAACTGTGAGCTCTTGATTTACACAGGATCTGTTTATGACTTCAAATTTTTCCCTTCTCAGGCTTTTATGTTCATGTTTTCTGCATATGTCTTTTCTTCTCATCTATGCTTTTCTACTTTTTTCTAGTGAGGTTTTGTCTTGCATTTTATATATAATTAAAAATAATGAAGAAACATATGGTGAGGCAGTTTTATGGGCAAATAAAAGATCGATAGTTAAACGGAAAATTCTGTTTGATCAGAGCTCGTGGTAGTATTTTTATTACAAGCCTAATAAAGTCAAGTATATATTTAAGATAAATGGGAAGACAATTCCTTTAGGCAGTGCCTGTTTGGCCATGGTGAGGAAAACTGAACAAGCTCTCAGTCTTGAACTGGAAGCAGCATTGTCAGGGTTCAGACTAGATTTCAGAACCTGAGCTTCTATTTTGATATTGTATTTGCATCATTTGGAACCTCTTATCAAGTTCTCTGTGATTATCCAAACTCTTTTGACTCGTGACCTTCAGTAGCTCATTCTTACAAGATTATGATGAAATACAGAGACAGAGCTGGTTACAGACAAGGAAACAGCCATAGGAAGACTTGCCCAAGAAGTAATTTATAGTAAAGCAGCTAAATCCATATTGGCTGAGTTCACAGTGTTCTACTCCTCTTTCATCCCTTTCCCCATATTTTCATTCTTATGTTGGTGGAATAACAGATTTCAGAGTTAAAATGGGAAGACTTTACTGCATCCAGGAAAAATGGCAAAGAAAGGGACATAAGCTTATAAAAGGCAATCAGCATAAATATTCACATTTCCCCTCTCTGGGCTGTGTCTTATGTCCATTTAAATGTCAATAGGGTGATTAAATTGAGTTCCAGTTTGAGAAGCATTTGCATGGAAATGGCACTGGAAGGGTTTCTGTTTATTGACTCTCAGTAACTGTTGCACCACTGTGCTCCCTTGAGAGGCTGTCTCAGTCTGAAGCTATAGATCTATTCCCAAAGCCAAGTGGGACAGCTTTCAAACATCTCTGGTGGAAGCTCTGCAAGACCCATTTTGCTCTCAAGAACTTGTGCAAAGTCACTTGACTCAACACATCTGAACACAAATTATGACTGGAAATTAATAAACAATTCTGTCAAATCTAACTCATTTTCTATAAGCTAGTATGATTCCTGCAGGCTAAGAGGAGGAGGAGTAGGATGTGAAATAAGGTTTTTTCCTCTCTTAAGTCAAAGAGTTCTATTTGGGGTATAATAGGGAGTGCACAGTTTGAGATAACAAGTTAACAACACTGTAGTATTGGAATAATGATGATTTAACTGCAAATAGTAAATCCAGCTGGAAACATAGGGCACGGTTGGTGAGAAGAAGGAGGTCTGGGACAGAATTAATATTTAGAGGTTGTTTAAGGTTCTGCTCCTTTTATGAAAGAGTTATATAATCAATCTCCTTGTGATAGAAGGCTTGGATGAGATGTTTTGCAGTCTTTTCTTTCTTTGCAATTGTCATCTTTTAATAAGACCATTGTGAATATGTAGAAACTATTTTTTAGCACTTATTTGATTGACTTAATAATTTGGAATTGCTTTACCAAAGGGATGAGTCCTTTGACTGCACAATGGTATATGACTTCAAAATCTGAGGGAATAGCTGTGGGGTTTCTTTCATCTCTGCATAGTCTGTGTCAAGGAACTTTGTGAAATCAGTGGGTTTAGCAACTGGCAATTTTAATTTTTTTGGTAGTCTTCAGCAGAGAATTAATACTGAGGTATTTTCTCTCCTATAATTTGAGTTCCTTTTATGTTGACTTCACTATCATGATCCCCAGTCATAGCATACACATAGCAACAGAATTACTTGCTATTATTTGCTATATTGCCATGATGATGCATGTGCTGAATTAGAATAAGAGACTCCAGGAGATCAGTGAAATTCCAGGAGATCAGGTCACTTTCAAAATAAACTATTGTGGCTAAAGTGCTGCCTGCTGTTTAAATGTTTACAGCATACATGATGTGTAAATGATGGATTTTGGTCCCTCATTTCCTCCCAGCACATGATGTATTGTTCTTTGAAGTGGGAGGGATTCCTCACCTCCTGCTACACAATTTTTATGGTTTTGTTTCATGAAACATTCAGAGAACTCAGACTAACCCTGCAGTCTGTTTAGGAAAAGCAATGAAATAAACTGAGAAATGGTGGTATTTTATGTAGAAAAAA